ACAGGAAGCAACATGTCTACAATTGTCTCTGTAGTTACAGGGAATTACTTTCCATCCGTCCATGATATTCAACGTTCACATTTAAACATTTCTAATAATTCATTTTCCGGAGGGGATATGTCCTTCCGCGCAAGACCCTCCGGTCCGGTGTGAGACATCCTTTTGCTACGCCACTCGTTGTCCATCAGCTGTAGCAGCGCTGCAGCCTGCTGCTCCGCTAAGCCCGGCTGGCCTGGTCACCCGAGTTCAACAGACAGAGCGTCGCGTAGTGCCGTAGCCATTACCGCTAATCGCATCCGCCCATACGAGCATCTGCACGTGGATTGGATTAGTTAGTAAAAAAGAAAAAAAACATTGATTCAATTTGAACATTCAACGCGACGCATTCACGAGGGCGCGGAGAAAGCAGAAAGTCATAGCAGCACGCGGCGCATGCACAAGAGTCAAATACAGCTGTGACAGCTGTGAGTTTCAACCTCCGCCACGTCTCGCTCTCCTTCCCTCTGCCAGTCTGATCCCGGTCCCCCCCCTCGCTCCGCTGTCCGCACTGATCAGTGGTAAACATACAGAGACATTTAGCGTCAGCAGCAAGTGATGTCATGGGCAACGAATGTGCTGGGATTGTGAGATTGGAAAGGAGAGAGGGAGACAGGGATGGAGGGAGGTCGGGGGGGGAGGAGGGAGGGGGTTGGAAAATCTAGAGACAGGAAGTAATATAACGAAATTAGAGAGTGAAGGAAATAAGAGGATGTCAGATAGGGAGTAAAGTAGGGAAGGTGACAAGTGTTGTGTATGTGGACGGTGAAGTGGAGGAAGAGAGAGGCCAGACGGGCGGAAGGGGGAGACGGGGGAGACGGGGGGGTATAAAGGCATATAAATACACAGAAGGAGGGAGGGAGAAAGAGATGGAGGGGATGATTATGAGTGGAAACGGTTGGCTCTCAATCGGGATATGCACTCCCATAAATAACGGGCTCTCTCAGTCAACAGCATGTCGTCACCGTGTTCACACACACTCCCTCGCTCTCGCACACATTGCTAAATTCTCAATTGCATCAGATTTTCAACATTCTGTATATAATTCCATTTTGTTCTCCTCCTCCACTGAATATGCTGGGGTACTTTGCTCATTGGTATTCATGTTGCGCTTGTTCTTAGTATTTACTGTGCGAGGCTCACTGTTAATGACATTGCATTGCGTCTGCTAGGATTCTGATACCGCTCAGAATACAGAGCGAGAGAAACCGACGAGGAACGAATTGGGGACTACAGAGGCAACAAAAGATGCAAAGAGAGACAAATAGCAAAAGGAAACAAGGCAACATTTTAGCCCTGTATATCACACATGTCAAACTCGCAGCCCCGTCGGCCGTATCATCAGCGCCACCCCTCCCTATAATTTTAATGGTCGGGCCTGAGGGCAGTACCTGGAGTTTGACACCCCTGCTGTATATGATCAGTCTTCTGGTTCTCAATGGATGCATTGATTGTATCACCAGTGGGAGAAGGTAATCAAGAAGAAACATATATCCAGAGTGGCCATGAGTAATGTGTTTGGTTTTAATTGGACAGTTTTCAACTATACAGTATATATTATTTATTTGGCCAGATACTCGTCGTTTTTTCAGTCTGTTAGAAATAATAACACAAAATGATGCACTGAACTCATGGGTGTAGCTTGCTTGCATAATATAAAAGTCTTTCAAACGGGATGCGATTGCAGATCGGTTTTAGAGGTCTTACTGTACCAAAATGCTGGATCTGATCAAAACAGACCAGAGGAAACTGAAAGCAAGACCAATGTGAGGGAAGAAGTCATCCAAAGAGAAATGAAGAACGAGGACTGTACACAATATCTTTTCCTTCTTTTTGTTTTTGGTTTACTTTCTAAGCGCCATTTGAGGCCCTTATTGTGTTTTTTTGCTTGGAGGACAGCTCTGAGATTTGTATTTGCAAAAGCTAATTCATATATTTAATTATATAGTGTTTATATATTAAAAACAGTTTATACAAGCTCCAAAAACAGTGTTAGTTGAAGTTAGTGCAATGCCATTGTTGTTAACATAATATGTTCCTGATAATGTAATGTAAAATAATGATCATCCTCAAGGCCTAAAAACTGGCAGATACTGACTATGTCCTGTCTGTGGGCTTTCATGAGCTTTTGTCCTGCTAAGAGAAAGATCTGCTTCTAATATGGATAGAAATAAAGTAATTGATTTTAGAAGGGGTGTCTTGCCTCCACCTTCTCGGCCAAAAGGAGGTTCAAAGGTCGGGGTCAACATTCAGCGTCTTGCTTAAGAGCAGCAGAGGATCCTTTCATCGTCATCACAGATGTTAAATCTGGTAGATATTCCAGGAAATGTTTACGGACAGTTCAGTAGCGTTCTTTGCAATTGACCTGTGCAAGCAAAAATAATATTTTTGTCTGAGGCGGTTCCCCATGAGCCATGTAAACTGCTGACGGTTATCAGCAGTGAGCCACATCCCACGACTTTCCCCGGATCTGACTTGTGTCTTTTCCGCCCACATCCTATCGTTACCCGTTTTTTACTGACTATCAAAAATGTAATTCACATCCAAGGCAACTTAATTGGCAGGACTCCTGTGTCTCACTCACTGCTGGTGTATAGCTTTCAATCATTTTCTTTTTCCTCTGTTGTTCAAAGTCAGTCATTACGTGATTGTCGTTTCTGGTCTAAAGCTTCAATCTCAGAGGTCTTATTTTAATCACATTGCAAAAGCTAAACTGAAAAGTTAGTCAACTGACTTTCCTCGGTATTAGAAAAAAAAAATCTCTTGAGATTTAAAAGAAGAAACCTACCCCCGTTTTTATAGAAGCTGTGTGATAGGTTGAGCACGTAATAACAGCTTAACTTATGGGAACTGACGCTCAAAAGTGCTCCCCTGATAACACCGCTGTACAATGAACGCGGTCCCTGCATCCTGTCTCCTTCACTATCGTTCTCTTTCGCCGTACACCCCGCCCCCTTCAGACAACATCTGATGCACAGGAGCCTTGCAGCTACGTGTCTCATCAGCCTTGGGGGAGGATTTCTGACGGAGTTTGTCGTTGTCGTTAATTATGAAGTCTCAAATGGATTTCTGGAATGTCCCGTGCGCACACACACAAGTACAAACGGTGTGTGCTTTCCTAACAAGAGAGTTCATCGTCCTTCTCTCCCTCTCCGCTGACTATATGTGGGTGTTTGCACATGCATTACCGTCTCTTGGCACAGACCCCAAGGAATCTAGTCAATCAAGCCAGCTTGCAATTAGGCAGAGAAAGTTTCGGAGTGTGTATGTTTACGGATGTGTGTGCTTACTGATTATACTTACTGCTCTTATGTACTTGAGCTTGTGCAGAATGAAATCGTACAACGTATTCGGGGGAAGCAGTTTTGTGCGGATGCTGCAAACGATTTCATGTTGCATGAAACGAAAGGATGTAGACACACACAAGCCGTCCGAGAGGCATAGCTGGCAGCTCACTTTCTTCTACTGGTGTCATTCATTCTTCCATCCTTATCGGTTATTCCCCGAAGCGTTTTCCCTCACTACACTGTTCTTCCTTTCCACTTTCCCACACGGTAAAAAATAATACTATACATGGAGAGCTTGGTAAAATGAAGCTCATGTCGAATAAAAACAAAATAATTTAGTTTAACTCTATTTTCAACTATATTCAACTACTTTTCAAACTAGTTGTATTTAAAAAAAAAGGAATATTAAATCCCTTTATGGCAAATTATTGCATCTAAAGTTGAGTGAATTGCCTTTTGAAATAGTTTTTCGGGTTGTGTTTTAATTAGAAGCATGGTTCTAACCACCAGCACATTTCCTCTCTTTACCACCAAACATCTATTGTTTTTAACTATCTAACTTTTCTTAGTCATTCTTAGTCTTCCTCTTTCCGTTTTGCCTTCCATGACGCTCTATTTTCTCAATTTCTTTCCCGTCTTAATTCACCTCTCCTTTTTTCCATCTTCCTTTTCTCTTACCTTCTCTGCAGCTTTCACCTAATCCCTAAAGGCATCATTCCCATTTCCTGAGCCATTTATGCTCTGGTGTGTGTGTGTGTGTGTGTGTGTGAGTATGACCCTCGTGACACAGTGCTGTGCGTCAGCGGGGACTCATTGACTTCCTCCGACTCTTTCTTCTTTGGGTCGGCTGACTTAAACAGCCCGACCCCATTGGCTGATAAGCCAAGGCCACTCTTCATTAAAAGTCAAGTGACAGATTGCCTTCCTTGTTAAACACTCGCACACACGTGGTCTAATTTATGGTCATGCATCTTGTGTGCACGCTCAAGAGGAGCAGCCGCTGCCGTATGAGAGTCTTTTCAGCTTCTCTTCTCTCCCTCAAAAGCTAGCTGCATAAGTCATTTGAAACACGCTCACGGTCCTCCATTAGAAAAAAAACCTTGTCAGTTATGGAGGTAGCCAAAATATCAGCGCCATAGAATCAGGGCGTGCAAGTCCAATTGGTCAACTAATGCTCCTCGGTTTGTCAGAAGGGAAAAGGGAATTCCACACAGCCTTTGTCATTGGTATATGTCACCTTTGACCTCTCGGTCAGCCCCTAGCTAGTTCAGCAGATTTGGTGCATGACAGAGCTCACACCCAGGAACACACAAGGTCTTACAGGAACTCCACCAGAGGTCAACTAAATCACAATAACAACAACAACAACCACGGCAAAAGAAAGAGCATAACATCAAGTCCACGCAAACGAGAATAATCAATGGCTTTGTCAATACAGGAAACATTGAGGGGGAACATTTTAAGCAGATGATTTCAGTTGAGTAGGACGGGGTTAAGAGAGGTCATGAAAAGTACAGAAAAGTTAGCTTGAGGAAGAGAGGAGCGGAGCAAAGCACAATAAATCTGAGCCAAACAGCGTTTAGTTTTGAGATTTGAGCAGAGCCCAACGGCCGGCGGTGAGTAAAGGAGGACAGTTGGCCGCGGTCTCGTGAAGGAGGAGGTTAAAGTCGTACTCACCGAGCTGGCTGCGTCTCTGAGCGTACGCCACCACCACGGCGGCCAGGACCACGCAGCACAGCGATGTCACGAGGTTTGCCATCTGTGGACACACACACAGCAGAGTCATGAGCGAGTGAGCGGTTCCGCCTGTCGTCCTGACTGACTGACGGACCCATGGGCGCCTACAGCGCCATGGAGGAGACGGAGAGATAGCCGCTTCCTGTCCTCTCTTTCAGTCTGTCTCCTTTCACCACCACGTCTGGGACCTTTTTTTCCCTCTTTCTCCCTCCCGCTCGTCAAAACCCTCCTTATTTCTTTACTCCCCGCACTGGTGTTATCCTTTTCACTCTATAACCTTTCTCTCTCTGTCCGTTTCCTCCTGTTCATCAGCCTAATGGGTCCATCCTCCCTGGGATGGGCAATGGCCAGACGCACTTAAAGGTATAGCACTCCATAAACAAACGGGCAGCTCTCGCGTACAACAACAGGACGCCTCGGGCATCGGCGGTCGCCATGTCGTTGCCTCGCAAGCCAAAGATCAACACTGAAAGAGGCTCTCATCGCTTGCTTTCGCCGTCATTTTGCCGTTCCCCATCTCCGTGTGTCAGATGAGACGATGGATAATAAGAGACGATTATTGAAAGGGAAAGTTTTAAATGTCTATGAAAAAGGGAGGAGTTTTTATGTGTTGTGATGACAGTAACCTTCCTTGCTTCCACTCTGAGGTGAAAGTTCATGGTGAGCTTCAACATAACTACACTATTGGAGCTGTTAAGGATTCACCGTCCTGTTGACACTTGAACTGGGCACATGCCAAAAAAGGGTCCCAAGGGCCTCCCGTCTTTGTCTTCTCTCCATGGACTGTCCCTTTGCCTGCACCCGCACCCCCGTCTGTCTGGAAACCACCCGCCTCTCCTCTCTGAGCAAAGGTCGTCTAAGGGTCTGCCTGCCGCTGAGACGTGCAGTGAGCAAGGTGTCCGTGTCTGCATGTGCGAGGACAGAGTGAGCGCTCTAAATAGAAGAAAGGGGGAAGTGATTTTCCTTGTTCTTTTTTTGATGCACGACTCCAGCTGTTGCAAACCACTGTCGCCTCCCATTACCTCGTGGTCTTGGATTAGCTTCACCGGTGTCTTTTCTCTTACTCACTTCTACTCTTCATCCCCTCTCCCACATAGTCTCCCTCGCCCTGTTCCGCGGAGTCGGTCCCTCTGTTGCTCTTTGGTAATGTCGGGCATTAACGTCACTACAGCATGTTTCAGAGATGGAACATATCATAAAGTACTGCGGAGCAACATTCAAGAACATGAAAAAGCTTTTACGGTACCACTGACATGTCACAAAGGCAGAAGGGTCAATGACGTAGATACTAGGCAATGTTTTACTGAACGGAAGAATGAAAAGCTTTTACACCCACACAGCTTATTACGTATTCCTACACGGCAAAAGCAACTGCGTTAACTTCAAGATGTAAGTTATTCATTAAAGAATGCTGAGTTTTATATGAAATCTTTTTTGGATGTCAAAGCAACACAAAGAGAATGGTGTTTCTCACAGAAAACATTAGCGGGGATGGCACACTAAAGTGTGTCCGTATTACAAGTAAAAAAACAAGACAGGCGCTTTGTGCCAAAGAGGAGCCTGCAAGGTTCACTACCAGGACCACGGGGGCTTCGGAAATGACGTACTAACGCTAAAACAAGATCAAGGACGCAGCAAATAGCTTTTGAAAAGCATGCTGTCACCTTAATATAACAGTATTCAAACACCATGGCAGCAGAAATGTCCCGAAGCACATCATTGTAATTTATTGATGTTATGCTTTCCAACTCACTGGATTATGTGGATTTGTGTTCACCGGAGTTCTCTGAGGTGGGAAGAAATTTAACGCCAAGCACACTGCATGATTTCAGTCCGCTATTCCTCAGCTCTATTTCCAGTTTTAATTGATGTGAATGTTTGTAGAGGGAACTCTTTGGAGTCTTTTATGCACTTTTTGATACATCACCAGATGAGTGGCTGTTTCCACTCGTGACTTCCAAAGAGAGAAATGGAGACTGAAAGTTTGATTGAGTGCATATTATTGAGAGTTAGACGGCGTGTGTGTGTGTGTGTGTGTGTGGCCTGCATGTGTGTCTATGTGTATGTGTGAGTGATTGGCAGCTCATATGTATTTCATCTAAGAAGATATTTAGGAGAGTGACAGAGGGTGAAATTAAAATTGCATCCCTTGTCAGAGCATCACAATCCCCATCTCTACTCTTCAAGTGCTGGTTTCAAAATCCAAAAGATGTGTGTGTGTGTGTGTGTGTTTGCATGCATTTGCAATTCTCTGGGTGCAGACGTCCCGGCATAAGCGTGTGTGTGTGTGTGTCTGTGCATGAAACTGTGGGGGTATTTAGCCTGTCCATCAGCAAACAATACAGTTTTGAAATCTGACAGCTTCAGATGGCTCATATAATGACAGCCCACGGGGCGGTTAGCGCTGCAATCACACAAACTCAATACAAACCCTCCTGCCTTTATCCATCCATCCACCCCTCCCATTTATTCCCTCCTTCTCCTCCTCCTCCTTCCATATTTATTTATTCATTTCTTATTGGAGGGGAAAGGGCTGAATAGGCATGATTCTTTCGGCCGCTTAATTAAAATATATAATTCATCGCTGCGTCAAATGATTTTGCCTCTGCTTCTTTGTGGAGTCCGATTTGGGAACATTTGCATTTAAATTGGAAAGCCAGGAGGGAAATACAGTAGGCGGGCCAGGATGTGTGCGTGATGGTGTGTTTGAGAAAAATATAAGGCCCCCCTTCCCTCTTTTGAAGAAATGCACATACGTACTTTCTTAGCTTTATTTTTTTCGCTCACAATGGGAAACGTCCAAAAAGAACATTGGCTGTCCGAATGGCGGTAGAGAACATCCTGTAATAGGAAACTTGGGAGGTTTGTCCCTTAAAATCACAGCTGTGTCCGCGTACAGTCATATGTTCAATCAGCAAGTTTCTCCTTCCTTTTTCATCCAGATATGCCCATATTCCACCTGACGGCCAGCTCCCATGAATAGAATAGTTCATCAGTAACGAAACGCATCCTCCAAAGCAACAAATGAGCGTTCTGATTTATAGCAAGAGTAGAGCCGTTTGCAATCAGGAATATCAACCACAGCTATCAAACACACATTAGAAAGACCTGAATCGCTGCTTCTTATGGTCATCAGCGGAAGAAAAGAAAAAAAAAAAGTTCTCCAAATAACTCTGACAAACTGAAATCAAAACAAATCACTCAACTTTAAAAGGTCATACAAAACCATCCTCTTCTACCTTGTATGTACTTAATGTAGCTTTATGGATGTTACGCACAGTTAAAGTGGATATGATGCGGAAACAGAGGACCATTATCCTGCTGGGACGTAATTGGAGGTTGGCTGTTTTTATGATCCTGAAACCAGTGTGTCTGGCACCACAGAGCAAGTTAAGACTGTAAAGTGACACCGTGTTCTGCCTGGTTTAGGTACTGACTCACAGAAGCACAGCTCCCCGTCTGCAGCAACGAGTTTTAAACAGGAACAAGTGTCTAATACGGCAGCCAGAGCACAAAGCAGCCATGCAACATGTCTCCTGTAGATAAAACCTCCTCAAGGAGTCGTCCTTTTGAGTCACAAAGTATTTTAGAATGATTTAGCAAATCGTCTTGGAAGATGGATGATCAGAAAATAAACTTGCCTTGGACAAGGAGATAAGTTAAATATAATATCATAATTTCCTCATTATGAAGAGTAAAAACCTTGAAACTCCAAGGTGAGGTGTCCTGTACAGATCAAACGAATGCTCACTGCGGAAATAAGCCTCCTGTCCACCACAGCTGACGGACCGACTCACTTTTGAGGAGTTTGTCCTACCTTCAGGCAACGATACATTAGTTTTTAAGGGTGTTGATATTTTCTCATATGGTATCATCCAAATATAATACCGTTACAAGCCTGTTATTACGTTAATAGTTGTACTCTTGTTGGCCGTATGTGGACATCGGCTCTCCCCCGCTGTCCCTCCATGCTATTGAAGATGTCTGCAAGACGTAAGGGACAAAAGGTACATAGTGCATTTCGCTGTCATTTATAGTGGCGCTGTGCTGCCGGCTCAGGGATGAGAGACACGGGATGTTTGAGAGTCGCGATCTCTAAAGATAATTGCTGCCCAAATAAATGTATTCATTTATTTTTTTATATCTAAAGGCTATGAATATGCAAAATATTTCAGCAGAAGGTGAAACTCGACCAGGAGTTTCTTGGTTCCTATTTTTTTTCTTCTCTTAGGCGAAAGGTCTAAAATAATTTGCATTTACCTTTCCTTCCGTGGTGAAATTACATTTTGGGCCAGAGACCCAAAGGAGAATAATAACAGGAAAAACGCCATTGATGACGCGATCAGTGTCCTGCAGATGATCCTTTCATCCAATCCCAAACATTCACGCACATATGCAATCACATAATCACACATAACTGATGGCACGCTCCCTATTGAATCATACTAATACGTCCCTCATCCCCTTGAAGCTTTTTCTTTGCTGGGCAAGAATAATTCTGTCATCAATCACGCAGAGTCACTGCAGATTACCAACAAGCTATTAGGGTGGTTGTTGTGTGCGTGCGCATGTGTGTGTGTGTGTTCTGATGTGGCTGCTGGCATTTGGTGTACAGCACACACACGCGTGCATAAATACTGACACACGCATGCCGATGTGCACAGTGGGCATTTGCTGATAGCCCGACGGCTGTGACCTTTTCCTCAGTCGCTCTGGCTATAATTGTTCGCTAAAAACAACGTCGATTGTGACCTGAGAGGTAGCAGTGGTCGCGGCCACGAACACACACACACACACACACACACACACACACCTCGTGCACGGGAATGACTGGCACTTGGCTGTGAGAGATAAATCCAGCCATTGATCACATGTGACTGCTCTCAGCTGGCTGAGCTTCAGGAGAGCTGAACACGTCGGCTCCCATGCATCATGTCAGCAGCCACAGCGCAGAGCTGCAGCATCCGGCCCGTGATATTTTTGCACAAGCAGCCATTGCACAAAAGTCACACCTCACGGGGG